ATTAAAAATTAAATTCACTGCAAGACTTTGATTAGAAATGGGAACATGATGGACTGACTTTGTCTTATCTTACTACCATTAGCAACTGAAAGACAATTCCACAGCTGAAATAGCTTTATACTTGGTCAACCACACCATTGAAACCTCTGACTTTTGCCATAAGCCTACAAGCCTCCCTGCATTTTGGTTTGTAATGAATGGGAAAAAATGAGATTCCATGTGGTGAGTGAGCTATACCCAATTAGAGTTCCACAAGGAGTAGTTTTGAACATCATTTGTTTTCTAGTAACTCTTATGGAAGCATCCTGGACATCGGTGGTTGCAGGTTTCATGGAACACAATTGAACAAGAAGACTTTCCCATTTACTTTGATAAAGTAGGATTTTTCATAAGTGAACTAACATTTGCCTAAAATGGTAAGCAAAGTGCATGGGATTAATACAGTCTGAAGTTTAGTATTACCAGCTTCCCAGCAGAAATCAGATAACTAGACCTTCTCAGGAAGTAAATGCATAGTTACTGTATCAACTATAGCAAAGGATTATGTATAGATATATATAAATTTGTTAAAGCCCTTTAGACTTAGATTTGTAGTTTGTGGGTCTCATTTTCATTATTGTTCTCACAAATTAGATTGTAAAAATGCAAGAGTATTATTCTGGAAAGGCAATACTCTCTTCCCTGAAAAAAATAAGCAATTCCAAGTAGTTTGGTGAGTAATATAGTAACTGCTTTGATGTTCAAAAGGTATACAAATGATAACACAGCTGCTACACTTTACTCCCTCTTCTCCTTTAAAGTCCTCCACCTTCCTCATTTCTTTACAAGCACATCATACATTCTCCATAGCAGGTTGGCTGCTTGATTTTAGTTAAGAGTTGCAACTGCTGCAGATCATGCAATCACATGAAGCACACAAAGTTTAGCCTTTCTGCAAGCTCAGTTCCTCACAATAATGTTCATCTAGGAATGGATGGGATTGTTCATTGTAGAAAACAATTTATTGTCAAAAGAGAAAAAGGATACTAGAGAAGTTTACTTTTTAAAGAGAAGAAGTGCACAAGCCACAGTCTTCAAGTCATATTACTATCACTTAGTCAATGATACGTGGGCTGCTGAAATGAAGTAAGCCTAATTTTAGCAGTATTCTATTTTCCAGCCTCCCACCATCTTTAGAACTCTGGTCCGGAGGAAAGTTCAGAAATCTGTGCACCAAACTGCAAATATGCAATTTCCTGTGGAATGCAAGGACCCGTTAACTTGGGCTATCAATCAACCACTTATATTAAAAGAGGAATAAAACCGGACATCTGGAACTATCCCTAAAATACTGTACAAAGAACTCCACCTTAAAAATCAGCACAGAATGAAGAAGTATTGATACAATGTTCATCAACCCACTTGGCAACTTCCAATTGCTTGTTCCTAACCCCACACATTTTGGGCAGTGTCCCGTACTGCCACTGCACCTCTATAAGTCCCATTGGTCTGGTGTAATGAAATGCTAATACAACAAAAACTAGAGGTTCCCAAAATAAGCACCAAAATGAACAGTAACATTCATTTCCAGAACCAGACAGGGGAGCAAAGTCTCCTTCTGCAAGTTCTGCTAACCATTCTAGAAATTAGTGTCGTTGCTTCCTTCCTTATTTTCAGGAACTCCCACTTTCTGTTGCACTAGTGTTGAGGACCTTTTTTGTCTAGAGATTTGCAGAACACAAAATATATGCCACAGTTGTTTAAGGCATGGAGCAAAGTTTGAGGTAACTTACATATTAATCAAGCTATTAACCACTGTTTGAGGGATAGATCTTTATTGCTCTCTTTTATTCCCTCCTATACTATCACAACAGAACCAACAAGTGCCATTAACTCACAGCTACATAAATTAAAATTGGCTCTCACTAATTATTCTTCTAAAGCTTTCACTGATAAATCTACTGTGATGAAGCTCACCTGCTTTGCCATTGCGAATCCATATTTACAAAATGGCATGCAATAAGATATCTACAGGAAACAATCACATCCAGTTATTTTTATAGGACTGGCACAAAATACAAGCAGCTTTGGTAAGCTTAGACATTTTTATAGCTTTTCTTTCCTTTCTGGCTATGAAATAATAAGATACAGTGAAATCATGTTGTTATGAGAGCCTTGACTAAACAGTGCCACTGAGAGTAGTTCCATACAGCAATTTTTGCAGGAAATGTTAGTGTTACACCGGTGTTCTCTGCAGCAAGCACATATTTTGCTTCTAAAAGTATACTTGCACTTTTAAGATACCATATACACATTTCTGGGAAAGCCAATTGGCATGGCTTTTCCAGATGCTTCTGTGTTTAAAGATTATATGCATATTTTTCTCCATGCATTACATTTTACTAATGACAACATCGGTGTAAGACCATTTCTTGCAACCATCAGAACATTCACCACCCTGAAGTAAATGCAAAACCAGAACCTGCTAACATGTTTTTGGATTCATGTAAATAATGAGAGCCACTTCTCCTGTGGTTAAAGAACTGTTCATTATCAGTCACAAGGAACCAGCAATTTTTCACTTTGACTCATGTATTGTCTCCCCTCCAGTTTTTAAATTATGGTTGTTCTGCAGACTAAGCAAATTTCAGAAAGTGGTGCCAAACTCCTGGAAAGGCTTATTAAACAAGATTTCCACTCACTGTTTCAAACCACAAACAGAATGTATACTGATGCATACGAGGAATATGTGAGCTAACATCTTATCTAATGTACATTCCACATGGAACTGCCACAGATGTGTACTTGTGCTACAGTTCTCATTTCATTACCATATTGTTTTTCTCAAAAAAAAAAAAAAAAAGATGGATAAGGGGAAGTACTGTCTGTCGTGTGTCGAGCTTCCTCCTTCAAGCAGTCAAAAGCCATAGATCATTTTATTTTATTTTATTTATTTTTATTTTATTTAGACAACTTATATGCCGCCCCATCGCATGAGCCTCAGGCGGCTTACAATCATTAATATCCCATATAAAATACAAAAAAAAATCCTTGCAAAACTTTACTGCGTCTAAGTACAAATCACCCAGAACAGATCTCCAAGCATGGACAGAGTGGTTTGTTGAACCCCATCTAGTGTTTACCTCTGGGAACTCTCCTTATGAACATGCCTGGGCCCTGTCCCTTGGCAAGGGGCTTTCTGAAGGCAAGCAACCCCCTCATTCAGTTGAGCCTTCGGCCTCTACTGATGCCTCAGTATGAGGAATCAAGAACATGAGGGGCCTAGTCTGTGTCTGAGAATCCCTTATCCTCAGAAATCCTTCCCACTGCTTGTACATCTTAGTCATTCCCAGAAACTACCAGGCTCAGCAAAGTGCCTGACCTTGAGACAATCACCTCTGCCTTTTGTGTCTCAGCATTTTGACATAGCCCATCCTCCTTAATCTCACACATTCTGATTCCGCATTGTCTGGGATGCAGCCAGCACTCCATGTGAACAATTGCCCAAGACTGCTATCTTTCTCACTCCCCACACTGTCATCAAAGCACAACTTCCTAGTAAACAAGTTGAATCAAAGAAAATTTTTCTCATAGGAATGCCCTCTTATGGCAGACCATCATGGAAGCCTATTGCTTCTGAGAACATCACATGCAACCACTCTAAGAAGCAACAGTATTTATTTGGTTTATACTCCACCTTTCCCAAGAAAATGGTGTTCAACCCAGCTGTCAGTTAAAAGATCCAAATGTACTTTTAAAAGGGTGGTTAAAACAATCATAGAGCAATAAAAATGTAATTACAAGAATACAACCATTAAAAAAATAAAACCAGCGCCCAATCAGACCAGTTTGCGTGCCAAAGATTTGTTTGGACGTAAGTGACTTTGCCTGCTAGTGAACTGCAGAGAGAGAAAGCAACCTGGGGCAGACATCAAGTTCCAAAGACTGGGAGCAGCCATCTGGAAGACCCTTTGTAATGTCCCCACCAAATGCATCTCAGATGGTGGCAATACCAAAAACAGGACTTCCTCTGAAAATATTTGAACCTAGGTAGGCTTATACAAGAAAAGGAGGTTTTTCAGGAAAACTGGTCCCAAGCCTTATCTATTTATTTATGAAATTTGTATGCCGTCCCAAGCCTTATCTATTTATTTATGAAATTTGTATGCCATCCAATTACTAACGTCTCTGGACGGCTAACAGCATAAATAAATTGACGACCCACTCTGGCTGCAAATACAATAATAAAATTCAATATTAAAACATATTAAAATATTGGTTAAATAAAAAGGTCTTTACCTGGCGCCGAAAAACATATAATGACAGTGACAGGCAAACCTCTCTGGGGAGCACATTCCATAGTCCACAGAGAAGGCCCTCCTCCGGGTACTCTGTCTCCTAACATCTTTCACAGAGGGTTCCCGGAGGAGGGCTTCTGTTGCCAATCTCATATACAGCTTTGCAGGCTATAACCTATAGATCAGGAAATGTCTCAACATTCTTCCCTTTGTGGAAGTTTTTCTTTAGAGCTAACAAACTTGCTTTGCTAGTCACGTCCTGTGTTGGTTAGTAACAATTTGGATCAGGCATCAGAAAGCTAAACTAAAGTTTGCTTTTCAAACAGCATTCAATGCTAGGACAATGCTATGCCCCGCAATATACAGAGAGAACTTAAGGTTTCTCATTACCATATCACAGCCAGCTCCAACCAAGACACCATTATGTTACCCATACTACAATTAAAAATTAGTAATTGTGATTCTGCTGGCTTGCATCTCCAGCAGACGGAAATAAAATTGTCCACTCTTTGGCACAGCAAAAAACAAAGATGTTCATAAAACTATGCACTCTTTGTTCAAATTCCAAGATCTTGCATAGAAGAATCCACTAAGTCCAGAATCCATCCAATCTGATTACAGGGCAGCCGTAAATGCCAAAGCTTGCTTCAAAGAAGAAGCCAAAAGATAACAAGAACACAAGCTTGGAATGCTTTAAATGTTCACTTAAAGAAAAAGTTTTACCTGGAAATAGTCTGTGATGAAGGATCCAAGTTCACTCTTCAACAATCGCCTGAGAAGAAATGAGGCGCATATCATGAAAGGTCCCCACGACAATTGCTTTTTACTGAACTCTGTGAAATACAGGTATATCTAATAAAGTTTGCAATTGATTTTACTTTTTTTAATTAAGTAATTAAAAACTTTTATATGCCGCCCTATATGTGTGACATCTCAGGACAGCTTACAATATTAAAATCAAAATACACTAAAACAATCAAAACCAATATAATAACACAATATATAACCAATAAAAATAAGTTAAATCAAAAGCAACTGTAAAACCATTAAAATAATAATTTTTAAAATAGTGGTTGAATAAAAGGTTTTGATTTGGCACCGAAAAGAACGTCGGCTCAGCGCCAGGCAAACCTCTCCGGGAAGCGCATTACACAATCTGGGCGCCACCACAGAGAAGGCCCTATTCCGAGTAGATGTCCTTTTTACCTACTTCAGGGAGGGTTCCTCGAGCAGGGCCTCTCCGGCATATCTTAAGGGGTGTGAGGGCATGGGTGTACAAGGAATGCTTATATGCTTCCCCATGGTACATCTTTTCCCTTGAAAGAAACAGCACCAGATAGGTGGCTCATGGCCTTCATCCAGTACATGTTTTGCTATGGGATCGCAAAAGAATAAATTACCCTTTGAACCAAACCAAGTTTCTTTTCTTAACTTGGCTTCCTTCCACAGGTCATGTGGAACCATTTGTCCTACGCATTTTTGCAGTGCATCTCTTTATGGCACATAGCGGCCTCAATTACAGACACTGTATGCCTTCTTCTCAATAGTTCCTTTCTGAAAAGGCAAAAGCAATTACCAGGGAAGGCCGGATCTCTTTTCTGACCTCAGACAACCTCACATTCCAAGATACTGCACTTGGCTTGGCCAAAGGAGACATCCCTTTATTTTAAGGGCATGGGGGTAGGGGCACAGCATGGTACTTAGAAAGCGTTAACCTTTTTCTTTCTGCATTTTCCCTGCAGTTTAGCACAAACACTGTCTTCCTCACCTACCCACAATTTAAAATGTCTCAGTAGTGATGAACATGAGGAACAGTATCAAGTTTCTTGGCAGTATCTTGAAAGGTAAGAGCCAATTGCAATGCTGCTAGAGAAACTTCTGGTAGTAGTCCAACTCAGAAAATCAATGTCTGGGCTAAATATCGCATATATCTACTCAAAAGTAAGCCTCATTGCTGTTTCCAAATATGTTAAATGGATGTTGGAAATGTAAACAAAAATCGGGCACTTTTTAATCATATGTGGGGGACCTGTGATAAGGCCAAAAAAGTATTGGATTAAAATACACAAATGGCTTGAGGAAATGTTACAAAAACTTCTAACATTTAAACCTGAAGTTTTCTTATTAGGCATGGTACCTGATGATCTTAGTAAACAAGCAATGTATTTGACTCTACATGTAACTGCTACGGCGAGGATTGCATTTGCCCAACACTGGAAGAGTGAAGAGCCACCTACAGATGAACTGACTCTAAAAAAGATCTTGGACTGTGCCGAAATGGACAGATTGACTTTGTCTCTAAGGGAAAGAAGATACAGACTTCTATCAAACCTGGGACTCTTTTTATCATTGGCTAGAGAAACGGGACTATGCATAGACTTAAATATGTTTATAGTTTAACATAAAAAGAAAAAATGTGGGGGGCTGACCCAGTAGGTCTGAGGTTTTCGATGGCTGATGTTTTTTAGTTTCTTTTTGTTAAGAATAAAAAACTCAACACTAATTAAAAATTAAGATTAATAAGAAAAAAAGAATAAAAACTCAACAAAAAAGTAAACCTCATTGCATTCAATGGGACCTAATCATAAATTAGTGATGATTGCAGCCTATGTAAGTCTATTTTTTCTCAACAGCTTTAAGTACACTCCAGATATAACCAAATCTAAGTCTTTCTTGCAAGCCAATATTGTTAATTATGGGGCATAAGGAGCCCTGTGCTACTGAAGGATCACAGACCAGTGCAGATTAATGCACTCAAGTAAATGTAACATATAAGTAAGTAGGCATCACACGCAGAAACATGAATAAGATTCTGTATGTTCTGTGGTCCTCTACCATAGCCTGTTGTGTTGTTGAGATTCAATTCCAAAGGCACTCTTCTTGTAACACAGCGGTGTATATAGCCAATGCTATCCAACACACAAAATATATGTGAGGCTCCATTTTTACTTATTTATTGAGAGCTGTCCATTACCATCACACTCCCTGGGTGGCCATTACAATAAAAATACAAATAAAATAACATTAGATATAATAGCATGGTTAAAATATCACAGTAAAATAAAACAAGATAAAATCACAATATACATAATTAAATAAAAACATAATATATTAAAACCAGTGCGATTGGTCTGAAGGTTCTAAGTAGTGTCATAGATGCACCAAAAAAGAAAAAAGAAAGGTTTTTGTTACTCTGCCTGATGCTCAACATAGTAGGTGCCTAGCAAATCTCAGAAAGTAAAGCATTCCATAATTGGGGTGCCACCACAGAGAAGACCTTCCACCTTATAGCCTCCCCCTTAATCTCATGGGGGAGAGGAACTTGTAGGAGGGGCTCAGTTCGTCCCATAATATTCCTGTAACAATGTGAAAAGTTATGCACAATCATTCTCCTGTGGGTTTTGTTTAACCACCCTACTACCTGGGCTTAAAATGCTCCTGAAATAGACATGAGAGCTAAAGAAAAGCAGTCATCCCCATAATAATAGTTGGTCAAGACGACCTACCCATTTTTATTAATATGTTCACTAGTCATGTACTTTAGTTTATTAGATTCATCACAGGCAAATTTCAACACAGTCACCAGTTAGAATTCCAAAATAAACTTTACTGTGGCAAAGGGTTTTGTGGAATGGAACATATTTCATCAGATGTATCAAGAGAACTTCAGTACATGAAAGGTAATGTCATAATAATATTTGTTAGATGTCTCAAAACTCTTGCTGCAACAGATCAAAGCTGCTACTCCTCTGGAAATCATTCCAAAATAATACCTTAGCCCACTGCTGGTCTCTTTACATTTGACCAATTGGTCAAATTATCCATCCTATTAAAAGTTAGGTTTTTTCTTTTGTATACTACTGCTACTATTTTGGTCACACTGATTACACATCTGGATAAATTTGCAATTCTCAATACAAAAAGCAAACAAAATATATTTTAATCTATACAGCAAAACAGTGTACAACTTTCCTTTCCAAAACAACTCTGAATCATGAATTAAGAAAACAGCCTGAGAGGTGGGGGAGAAATGGATTCCAGCAGAGGCTTATAATGCAATTTGTCAAAGTACGCAGAAGTAGTTGTCTTATTCAGGAGTTATAAAAAGCAATGAACAGAATTTTATGAAGCTTTCATTTTTAAATCAATATCTTGTGGGAGGAATTTCATGCTTAACAGTTTATAGGTCTGTTTTCAAGTAGGACAAAAAGGGCACAAAAAGGCTTTATGCTACCACAGAGAATGTTAAAACTATTCTTAACTTGGAGCACAGCTTAGCATAACTCTACCAGCAGCATGCAAGGCACTGATAACCTTTTGTCAAAACATGTTGGCTTCCCCTGTCTTGACAATGTTTAAGCCAGATTCACAGAGTTGGGTGGGGAAAGGCCTTCTAAAGAGGTCTCCTTTTCTGTTTAACACGGAGAACTATTTTAAGTCGTCATCAAACAAGCCAAATTCCCCATTTTTGAGAGCAAATTCTTCACTTTTAATCTCAATGCTATGAAGTCTAGACACAAATATACATTTCTGACCAAGTTTGTTTAAATGCACTCAGGAGCATAAGAAAAGTCACACTGCGTCAGACCAAGCTAGTTTAGCTTCTTGTTCACACAGGGGCCAACCAGCTCCCCATGGGAAACCCACAAGTTCCCCAGCACCATCCTGCCTGGGTTTTCCATCACCTGTGTACATCAACATGCTGCCTTCAATACTGGACACAGCATATAGCAATCACAACTAAAAACTATTGACAACCTTCACCTCCAAGAATATGCCTAAGTCCCTGTCAAAGCTGCCCAAATCATCTATCATCACAACATCTTGTGGAAGTGAACTTCATAGCTGTGTACTTGTGAGAAAAATAATACTTCCTCTTATATATCATTAATTTCTCACTTATCAGCTTCATGGGATGACCCCAAGTTCTACTGGTCAGGAGAGAGAAATACATCTCCCGATACACTTTATCTACATCATTCATGGTTCTGTACACCTGTAATTTTTTCCCTTAACTTTTTCCGAAAGTTATTGTACTTTTCCATTATAGTAGAGTTGCTCCAACCCCTTGATCACTTTCATTGCCCTTTTCTGCTCTTTTTCCAACTCAACAACATTCTTTTAGGTGCAGTGAATAGCACTGAACACAGCATTTTAAGTGTGGCTGCATCATATATTTGCCTAAGGAAAGTACGACATTGGCAATTTTACTTTCAATTCTCTTCCTAATTATGCCTAACATGGAATTTACCTTTTCCACAGCAGCTGCACACCCACTTGATGTTTTGATCGTCCAGTCCTCCACAATCCAAAATTAACTCTTTTGGTCAGTCAGTGTAGCTCAGATCCATCAGAATATATGTGAAGCTAGGGTGTTTTTGCTCCAACATACATCACTTTACACTTCCTTACAGTGAATGCTATTTGCCGTTTTGATGCCAATTCTCCCAGTCTGAAGATGTCCTTTTGGAGCGTGTCACAAAGCCTTTTTATTTTAACTATCCTAAATAATTTTGGTGTCATTGGCAAACCTGGCCATTTCATTGCTCACTCCCAATTTCAGATCATTTATGACTAGGTTAAAAAGCCCTGTTCTCGATATAAATCTCTGTGGGACCACACTGTTTACATCTTTTCATAAGGAGAATTTAATATTTATTCTTACTCACTTTGTTTTTTTTAACCAGTTACTGATCCACACAAGAATCTTTTATTCTATGGCTGCTAAATTTGCTTAGGAGTCTTTAGTGAGGGACTCTGACAGAACAGTTTTGGAAATTCAAGTCAAGAGTATCTAGCTGAGCTCTATATTTAATGGTACTCTCAAAGGTTAATGAAACAGGACTTGCCTTGTTGAAAACCAAGGTTGCCCTTCCCCCAATTTTCTATTTGATAATACTTTCAACAAATTTACTTGGAAAAGACCTTAAGTTAAGCAGTCTGAAATTTCTTGGTTTCCACTGGATCCCCTTTAAAAAACCGGCATTACATTGGCATTCACCAGTCCTCAGGAATATGCTACCGATTGTTAGAAAATCAGCCTTTTCACATCTGAGAAAATCAGCCTTTTCATATCTGGGACCAGTGGTTTATTAGTTTTCCATTTGCCTATAAGGTACAGAATTCCAAATTTTGTCATACAGGTACCTGTCGTAAATCTTCTACAGTCAAGACAGATGAAAAGAATTCTCGGAGCTTTTTGCAATTCCTTGTCCTCTTTTAGTCTTTAACTCCATCCACATTTTACAGACCAACTGCCTCCCTAACTGGTATCTTCCTACATGTGATATATTTAAAGATACCTTTACTGTCGGCCTTCATATCGTTAGTCATAGGTTCCTAATGCCATTTTTGTATATAGCTAGGATAAGGGTCTAATCCAGCTCTCCATTTTATTATGCAGAACTACCCTTACTACATTTTTGCACAGATTTATCTTTGCAGTACCATGCATCAGCTGTGGTATGAACTACCTTGAACAAGCCAATAAAACAAAGTAGGTTATGACTCTAATAAGCAAACCAACTACCATGTGCAGTGCACACAACTCTGAGTTGCACCACCTGTTCAGCATCTGGCAGACCATTCCACCTAGCAGAGTCCAAACAACATACCTGACATTTTCGTTGAGAGTGTAGAGTTCATTGCTTTGCAAGCCTCCGCCTTTGAATACATTGATCACTGCTGTTTGAACACTGCCAAATAGAAGCAAGACAGTTAGGGCAGCCATAAATAACAAACATCAGTATGATTTATTCCAAGCAATGAAATTGCAGTCAAGGGTAAATTGCAGTAAATATATCAGTAAGGAGAGAAGGAGATTAATTGTCCTTAAATTGCTTCTGCTTTTTTTTTTTTTTTTTTACTTCCTCTCTGGAATCATCAGGTTTGGTTGCCAATAAGTAACAGAGCAGAAAACATTGCTTATACACAGGCCAGGGGACTAATACAGACACACACACACTCACACACAGAGGGAGAAGTTATAAAACCTGCACTAACATACTGCCATGCTGCAGCTCTTATCCAGAAAGATTATATGACTGTGGTATCATTTTGTTTAGCAGCAAGAGTCATACTGGAAATTTTTGCCATCACGTATTTAAATTTATACTTGCAAATTGGAAGGCTAGAAACCTAAAATGACAGGATTCCTTGCATATAACAAGAGAGCACTAGCTGAAAGAAGAGACCTTCTATAAAGCCTGCAGACTGCACATTTCCTACTCCCGTGTAACAGCATAATCAGTCACAGAGAGAAACTGTGGTTGCCTATTCTAGTAGAAGATTTTTCCCCCAAGGAAAGTTGGAAAACTCCCTCTAAAATTGAGCAGATTGGTGGGACAGACCAGGGCGATCTGAACTTTAAGGCAGCTTGCTTTGCAACTTTCAAAAATAGTGGCACCAGTCCTATGTACACATCTGCTTATGCCAGTGTTGGACAACTTATGGCCCTCCAGATGTTTATTTTTTCATGTTTATACTACCCAACAGCTGATGTTTCCTGAGCAGTTAACAAAAGTGCAATGCCTTGGCCTACGACTCTTGCAAGGCTCATCCAGCAGAGGCAAAGGTAAGGGATCTTGGGAGTTGTGCCTTCCAGATGTTTTTATCTGCAAGCTGCCCATTCTTCACTGACATAGACCCACTTACCTATAAAGCTTATCAGATATAGCAATGCACAGCATGTGTCTGAGAGGGAAAGACGAACGATTTAGTTCCTCCCATGCTCAAACAAGTTGCTTGTGGTATATGTTCCAAGAAAAGCATCTGTCTGATTAATAAGGTTGGATTGTGGTCCTTGCTCCAGGGACAGGAGAGGCATACTCGGAGCCAATCTGCACACAACACTGAACCATTGCTGGAAGGAGCCTTGGGCTAAAGGGGTCAGCCTTGATCCCCCATCCAGTGCAGTGGTATAATTCTTTTCCAGGATTCCAGTTTAGAGAATCCCAAACCCAATGCATTCATTTTTGGCAAAGTCCCTCACCAAAGACTCTTAAGCAAACAATGCATAGTTTGCACTTGCCCTGCACTTAAAAACGAAGGACTGACATGGCACATAAAGCAAGTGTGACATACACTGATAGAAGGGATCAATTACAGCTCTAAGAAAATCAAAAAGAGCTCCGCAGGTGAATGTGATTTCCAACACATTTTGAAGAAATTATCCAGGTAAATTGCTGTAAAAACAAAATTACAGCCTCTATAATTATAGATTGTAATTCATATCCATACCTACTATCAAATGTTCCCTAACACAGATAGCTCCTGCCAACATCATCTCACAAAAATAAAGGTATCATGTAAGTTCATTTATCCAGTGTTTACAGTCACTACACTAAGTAGGAAGTCAAACATGGGAAAAAAATTCCCAGAACACCTCATTAGGCAGGAGCCCATGCCAGTTCTAAAGAATCCAAGTTCTGTACAGCAGCTATTTTGCATGCATAGGGTTGGATGCCAGATCTGCCTTCCGTGATAGGAAGTCCTCTGCTTGCATATGATCCCCCTGCCTGGTCTTTGGATATCTCTCTCGCACACACATATACAAGATTTAACAAAATCTCATGACTCTCAGTACAGCATATTCAAGAGGCTGGAAGGGCTGCCATGGAAAAAAGTAAGTAAATCTGCTTCCACCAGCACAGGTGATCCAGCATGAAACCATACAAAGTCCGAGAGCAAGGGGGGGGAGCCTCTATTCCTCCCTCATATATGCAATTGTTGGTATATACACAATGAGCATCTGCATAAGCAAGTCACAGGCACACAACTAAGTTAAATATGAAGTTTTGTATGGTCCACATTTAACTGAACTTTCCAGGCCAATATGCAGATAAGAACAGTTATCCCTCAGACTGTACCCTTCTCTGAATTTTCCAATGCAGTCTGTGGCTCATAGATTCTATACTGAAATGCATATATTAAGCAAAGTTGCATATAAAATGTGTGCTGGGGAAACTGTGTACAAAAATATATGTAAATTTACATGCAAGTTTTAATTTTTTCACAGAATCATACAGACACTGAGCAGCAGAACTTCTGACTCAATAAATGCAAAACAGGAATCAGAAATAGCCTGATTTATCCATCTTGGTATGAACATAAGTATGAGTGAAATGATACTTCTTCATACCGCATGCACATTCAGACATGTGGAGGAGCCCAGCAATGCGTGCTAATATAAGCCAAGTTTGTGGACTGAGATGGTTCAGCTTACCTGTTCCATGCAGAATTAGAGCTCAGTTGCAGAGACTGCCGAGCTGCCAGGAACCGTGGCAAGTCACTCAGCACTGGAGAGCTCATGAAACGTGGGCGAGGTCTCCGAAATGAACCCATCTTCTGAAAAGGGAAAACTGGAGCTAGAATTACAGAGGAATCCTTGGTCATCAGTTCAGATGGAAAGGGCCCAGGAAATGGTTTCACTTAAAAAAAAAAAAAAAAAAAGGACAATAGAAGCTGTCTGTGTTCTTCAGAATCAGAAAACAGCCTGTAGCAAGAGGAAAAAGCAACAGATTAAAATGAGGGTATTTAAGATAAGCATACTCTGTATAAAGTTATGATCCAGTTTTACAAACTTGTACTGTACTTGTACTGAAATAGACTAGCAGTCCCAATTAACGCTGTTGTAGTTATTATGCGGTTTGATGCATTATGCTAAAAAACCATGTGCATTCAGTTTTATTGAAAGCTTCTTATTTTAATCATTAATAGATAAGGAAACTTTTAAAAAAGATATACCATCTCCCCACCCTCTATAGAAATTTACATATACAATATGCAACCAAGAAATAGGCATATAAAGAAAAAGTAAAACAGATGAAAAGAAATTCCACACATAACTAGATCTATACAGTGTATTTTAGTTGGACTGAACTTAGGTCCTTCAGTTCTTCTCTTTTTCTTTTTTTATTACACTTTTAAACCACCCAGTAGCTGACTCACTCTCTCTCCTTAATAACAGAAATTCCTTATAGTGTAGCGTCTCCACTGACCAGGCATAAGTTTTCCCTCCTACTTGCAATTTCCCAACACGGTCCAAGTTTTTAAGGATAGTTCCTTAAGTCTCTGGGAAGAAAGAAGACTCAGGAGGCAGCCTATGGACTGAAAGTTCTGTTGTGCGCCTTTCCAATTACAGCCTTTGGATTCAAGCCAGAATTGTTGAATATTCCCTACTTCTGATCAGAGTTTGTTCACATTTAAGTCTTTTTACAACACGCACCTTTGCCAAAAAACAAACAAAAAAACCCCCACCACTTGACACCAATGCAGTAGCCTTTGACTTGCAATGGTTAAGTTGTAATTTTCCTTGCATCAAGACACATGCCTCTGGCAGTCAGCACTACTGTCACTGTGCCAAAGGGGATTGATTGTGTCACCGGCTCTGATCTTGTTTTGCCTTTCAAATTTAGCTCTGTGTCAGAGTTGGACAATGGGCATTTTAGCTTTCTCCATGTTTGTTTTAAAATCAGCAGTGGCAGGAGGCACCTAGAAATCAAGCAGAGATTTCACCAGCACTGTCCAATGGGGCAGTGCTGCAATTTCAAACATGAGATGAAGATCCTGGTTCAACTCTTAGCCCAGGAAGAACTCAAAGTGCCCTTAGGGAAGCCACGCATGTTCAGCCTCTTCCACCTGCCACAGGGAGACAGCACTGGCCTATCCTGCTTGCTTGTCACAGGCATGCTACATAAATGCACAGCAGTTGGTTACTTGTATTTTTACAGCACTTGTAAAACATGGACCACTTGAAAAACAAATATCTTTATATGGTCAATACTCTGATGCCAATTAAGGGGGAAATGGTTTTGTTGGGGAGGTTACTCCTCCCCTTCAGGAACATGGTGGTCAAAATCCACTTACACATCAAAGACAAGCCTCATACACTTTGTGTGATTAGCACAACATGTCATTGGCTTTCAGTTCAATACAGTGAACTTGAGAGCTGGGTTAGAAAACACTTTTCAACCACAGGAGTGATCACAGACACTTCACTAGCCCACTTGGACGGTCCTCATCGTTGTGAGAAACCCAGAACTGAATTGCACTCTTAATGATAAGATGTTATAGAAAATGCCATTTTGACTTTCAAAGAGAAGTATGGGTTTGTGAGATTTTCCTCTATAACCACAGGTGATTCCAGTCAATTCTAGAACACCCAAAGAAAAATGTAAGCAGTTCCCAAGGGCTTGCTGTGTTACAGCTGTTTTCACAAAAAGGTACATAAATTGTTGATATAGTTCCAAAATCTGTAATTTAGGCAGCCTAATGAAAAGTGACGTTAACAGCATGATTAGTGGGGTGTGTGTGCGTGTGTTCTAGAATTAAATGCCATGTAGGAGGCCTGAAAGCAATAGTCACTTGCATCACAGAAAGGGGAGATTGAAGTCTTCCCTCTGTAGACACTATCTCAGAGGTAAGAAAACACTTCCTGCACAGCAATTTGCATTGCAAAAAAAAGTTCCATTGGTGTCAATTGAGTTTTTCCTTAGCACTAATTGCTCTGCAGCAGAGTGCAAATTTTACTAAGGTCATAACGGAGGAGAAAAGTTTCCCAGTTAACTCAAATTTCCCATCTTAACCTACAGTGCAGTGCTTCTATCTATCCTGCTCCCAACGTGCCTGGGATTTAATTTTTACAAAAATCAACAATATGATTTTTAATTCTGTCCTCAGGATCACATGCAATTAGCTCTACTTTTTATCATCACCACCACAATTATATATCCTGCTTTACTTCCATCATGAATCCCAAGGCAGTGTTTACATGCTTTAAATAAGCATCCCTTTAAAGGTGTATCCAGAAGACATGTCCTTTTTCATTTTTTTCCCGAAGTTGATACAGTGAGTCCAATTCCTATCTTTAAAAAAAAAATGCTACTAGGATCCTGAGTCAGACTGAAGCCGATGCAACTCCCACAGAGTAAGAATGTTCAGCCTTGGCTAAATCCATTCCATCTGTTTCTCAGATTTTGTTCTGCCATTCCCTTACTGACAAAGTCAGCTTTAGCACAAATGCCTAAAAGTTTGCACTTCTGAAAACATGTAAATTCCCCGAAAATATGCAACTCCTCCAAAAATGTATATTTTCATGTTTTTTGTCTATCTTCAAAGATCTTTAAAAGCAAGAACACAATGTAGAAAAAGCAGAGTGTTAACAATTAAACTTCAAGGGAAAAATCAGAACCATTTGGAATATTAAAAGGCATAAATTCTGTTTTGAAATGGGGCTCCTCTCTTCATGATGTTCTTAATTAAGATTCATATTTGCAAACAGCACAACTGTGTCATATGTGACAATGCCCATAGACAGAAGCCTGCACATCACTGGCCTGCCTACTTTATGTTATAGATGAATATAATAAAGGTTCACCCTCTTTGTAGACCACAGTAAGCCTAGGAGTGGTAGACCAGCCATTGGAACCCTTGGTAGTTACAGGACAAGCCTAACTTACACTTAAATATTGTGTCATTGAAAACAGTTGCAGACTACTTCAGAGCCTGAATTAATTCATCCACAAAGTTGTTGCTTCCCACACTAATAAGGACAACTATGTCTCCCTTCACACCAGAGTGTGAATCTCCCACAAAATTCCCTGACTGCTGTTCTATCTACAAAAGCATCCTTAGTCATTCACAGGCCACATCTATTCCACATATGGTCGAATGTGTTATTGAGAAGAGAAACTACGGTCAAGAGTCATTATTATAGTAACAGGGTTTTCTGGAACCTCCTTGGCATCCTGGCACTTTTGGCTACCAGGAATTTATAGCATATAAAACAAGACTGGACAATTTGCATTTAACGGTTTACTGGAAAAGCAGACGGTATCAACGTTCTTAAAGACACACATTAGCCAAAAGAAGTTTCCACCACTGATTTTGAAATGTTCCCTCCGTCAACAGAATGTCTTCCTGCAAGCACAAGAGCGCTAAGGAGAGCAGCCAAGCAATGGAGCCTGAAGTCTATTAGTTACAGGAGTGGTCACATCTGCAGCGCCAGTACTATGAGAGTATATATAAACTTCCTTTGCCCTTACGAGATGGCATTTTAATTGGCCATCTTACTAAACATGTCCCATTGACTCACTGATTCTGGTTGCTTCCGCAGTTGCCCAGAGACAGATTATGATTTTTTAAAAATATTTCTTAAAAAGTATTCTTTATCCCAGTTGTTCACTAGATTCATTTCATTCAAGCCACATTACAGCCCTTTAGCCTTGTAGAAAGAAGTTGCAGTACGCCATACCGAGAGCCATTCTATACAAGGTTGTTCGTATGCTGTAGCTATTTTCAGTTTAATCACAAAACAGATCTGAGCCCTTCACGAAGTTATTTCCTTCTCTGCGTTTCTGCTACATAAGCTCTAGGTAGCACTGCAGTGCAGCAGAATAGCACACATACAAGTGAAAAGGGTGGTTTCTTTTACTTTCATAATTAAAAGCTGTTTGCGCCTTGCTCTAAGAAAAGCTCACCAAAAGTGCTGGCTAGACACAGAAATGAAACTCAAGGGTGACCCACACTGTCTAAACAACCATGAATAGAGAATTATGGGCACATGATAATCACCTCTAGTAGAAAATCCCATACATAGGAAGTATGTGAAACTCATGTGAATGTGGTACTGAAAGGGGATTGGGAAAGATGCTTTTCACTGATGTGATTTGAGCTAAAGAAGTACCAAGAAGTATTTGAAAGATGAACCATGGAAGGTAGTCCAAGCTTTCTTTGGTTGAAAGCACCCTTTTACTAGCATCTGGTTATCCATCTTTCCTTCCTGATGACTCATGTTGCTAAAAAGGACAATCTTAAGAAACCAGGACACAAACAATCATAAAACAGTAAGAAGGGTAAAAGAAAGAGCCTCCAATTCCTTACAATCTATAATGCAGCCTTTCCCAGTCTGGTGACTGCCAGATGTTTTAGGCTTCAGCCAGCCTCAAACAGGATGGCCAATGGTCAGGAATGCTGCTAACCCAAAATGTCTGGAGGGCACCCAGTTGCAGTGGGATGTGAGTAAGGCAATCGTTCCTTTCACATTTAGGATACCCACTGCAAAGAGGAGGAGCTGGAGAACAGTCAAAGCGCTTCTTCTCATAAGAAAAACCAGAATTATAAATAGTGTGCCTTCCTGAGTTCCAAAGGCTGGTTTGCATGTTGCTGTTTCTTCAACACTGATATTGGTCTACCTTTTTCTACTCTTGTGCCTATATTGTGCACCAGTATACATGGGGTATTAAGAGATTCACAGAGAGAACATATATATGTCTCTGTCCCCAAAGAACTTACAGTCTGCAATACTTTAACACAGCCTTTCCCAAACTTGTACCTTCCAGGCATGTTTGGACTACAACAACCCAGAATTCCCAGTCAATGGCCCTGCTGGATGGTGATTCTGGGAGCTGAGGTCCAAATGCCTCTGAAGGCTACCAGGTTGGGGAAAACTGCTTTAACATGTCCAGAGGTCCCCATCCCCAAATAAATAACTTACATACCACTTTTTTGAGGTCTAACGTATATCATTTAAGGAAAAATCTTATACAGGTTTAGACAGAAAAAACTAACAACTTCCAGCATGCCCCAGGAGTGTGTCCTTATTCTTTTTGTCATGGGGCAAGGCCAGTCGTTTCTTCAAAAAGCAGAGCTATAACTTGAGGTTAAGAGACATCTTGCAGTGTTTACTACAGACCACGTTAAAGCACATCAAAGTGCCACATACTGCCCATTCTTAGGAAAATTCACATGGTAGTTCTACTGAGTTCAGTGCAACTAACATCTTCGAAAGGATGCACAGGAATGTACACTTTTGTTAAAAACCAAGTTTAGGTTCAGATGAAATACTCAATTTCGTTTTCACAGAAACACTAAACTGTTGCCACAGGAATTCCCCAACTGCACAAACAAGATAAGCAACACATTTTCCCTCCTGTGTCACATCTAATCTTCATGTGAAATTCTTCTTCAACTTCTTGTTAATAATTTACCAAGCCTTCATTTCAGCTTTTGCATTATTTATTTTATTGCAACCAGCAGACCTTCCAAACTGATACCTTCTGTATCACCCCTTCCATACAAAGACCCTGCCCTTGTTCTGATTTTTGCAATTGTCTGGGAGCTCAGCTCTCAGCTTCAGGCACTCGCATGAACCTCGGTGGGACAGATATGTGTTTTACAGCTCACAGTTTGTGGTTAAAATCATCCAAAGAATCACTGCCTATAACCACACAATTTATTAACAGGAGATAACATTTCAAAGCACTGGAGGGAGAAGGTCAAATATTTCATTTAGTGCATAGAAGCTCTTGGGCATTCACAGGTACTCTTGGCATTATGCTCCTCATAGCTGTCCAAAGATGTGATGACTTTTTAAAAAGACTCCAAATGCTCCATACCTCTAACTAAAGCAGGTTTCCCAGAGCCCTTGGTGCTGAAGCAAATAATTCTGAAATGCCACTCCCTAAAAAGAGGGTTGTTAGAGGGTTTGGTTGGGACTCAGAAGATCCAGGTTCTAGTCCCTACACAGCCATGACGCTCACTGGGTGACTCTGAGCCAGTCAGGGACTCTCAGTCTGAAGTACCTATTACATACATTGCATTTTATGTAATTTATACATTACATTTCTATACTACCCATAGCCAAAGTTCCCTGGGCAGTTCACAACATTAAGTCATCCATGCAGCTTTCAACCAGGCCCAATCCTGCTTAGTTTCCAAGATTAAGCAGGATCGGGCACTTCAGGTTATATGAAAGCTACAAGGCTGTTTTTGTGCGGATAAAATGGAAAGAAGAATAATTTTGTTAGTCACCTTGGATTCCCTGCAAATGTAGCAAAGCTTGAGTATAAATGTAATGGACAGATACATCTAAAGCAGTTTGGTAAACAACTATTTCACATGTTCCTGGCCCACAAACATTTCTAGGAGCTGCTTGCTCACATGGTTCTTTAATAGTTTGTCTGGACCTTGTCAGCCAGACTTATAGCAAAAGATCACTTATGCAGGTTAGAATCCTAGATACACTTACACGGAGAGTAAGTCCATAGGTGTCCATTATGCACCAAACATGTTTCTAGCAAGCACTTTAAGGAAGACTTGACTGCCTGGTTGTCTTCAGTCAGGCACATGACTATTTGCAAGCATGGTAAAAATTAAAAGTGTTGTGCTTTTCCTTCTTAGATTGCCACTGAAAGCATGTGCATAGAGGTTGTTGTATCTAGAAACATGATCCAATTTCTTTTCTGTAAAACAAGAAAAATTCATCAACTCTCTGGGTTGTTAACATATCAGACGGCTGCTTTTCACTCATTTGGATAAAGCAATAGAAAAAGAATCAGCCAAAAGTGGTGCTTCCCTTTCAAATAAAGTAAAAGTTTAACTAGGTATGTAATTAATGGAATAATTCAGTTGATAAGGTCCTGTCTCTAGATATGTCTATTTCCTAAACACACATTTTAAATGTGATTATTTTCCCATATGGTTTCACCACATGTAAGCAGCTTGAGAAATCACACCATTTGTCACTGCTTACATGAACCTGTGTGCAATCAGTTGCAGTTATGTGCACTCATGTATGAACTTGCCCAACCTCTCAAATTCTACTGAGCTTTTAGTAATTACTCTGAATTAAACAGGGAAATGTTCTAAAACCTTTGTTCTTTCTTTACCATGTAGTTTTACCTTCTTTTGGGGACTATTGTATGTATTATTTGGATAGCTTAATGGGACAGCAGCTCAATGAGTCACTCAGTAGAGGGGTGATACAGAAATATATTAAGCAAGTAAGTAAAAAAATACATTAGGGATGTGCTCATTTTATTACACACACACACACCGGGGGGGGGGGGGTGACCAAAAGAGCTACCTACTGTTCCAAAGGCAGCCAGACCAATGAGTATTTTCAGTTTGTTTCCCCTCCTACACATGGGTATTTCTGGTCCTATTCTCTGATAAAAACAAAGAACGGGGAAAATAAAGACTACAGAGAACTACATAGATTGTTATATTCTCACACTGATGGCATTCAAGCTTTCAGAAGATTCTCAAAGAGGCTGAAACTGTAGTTTAAACAGAATCCTAAAAGCAGCCAAAATTAGGACCATTTACCAGGAGCTGGTAAAAAAAATAAATAAATGTTCTTTGAAAGTACTTGATCCGGTATTTAGAATAAAAAGCTCAGTACTTTATATCCCATAAGACACCATTGAGAAGCAGACTGTTAAATTTCATATCTGTTTGTTAAAACATATGCTATGCCTATTAGTTATCATACACTGAAGATCTGTGTAACAAGATATTATTCACATTAACAGATATTGACAGAAGCTACAAAATTAATTGAAAATCAGATTGAAAGGGCATCAATTGAATTGTTAATTGCTAGCTATTCAAGTACAGCCACTGCATGCATCAGTGGTGGAATCCCTCCTAATCGGAGTTTCCCACTGACAGCCAAGACACATTGACTGTCCCCTAAAGCAATCCAAAAGAGCACACACATGCTATGATTTCTGAACCATTACTTAAGCAGCCCCCATGGCTGAAGCAGAATTTCATAAATGTAATACAGGGTTACATAATAAATGTAATACATAAAGCCATTACACTTTTTAGCACAATAAAACAAAACTTTATGGGTAAACAGGAACTCAAAGTTGACGGCTAAAACCCTCCTTCTAATACATTAGGATGAGATAGCAAAATGTTTGCCATCTTTATTTAAAAGCACACATTAGTGTGATTCACACATAGCTGCCAAGTTGTGTTGTGTTTTGTTTTGAATCTTGAGTTCTGACTTAGCCAGCGTACAAGTTCAAGCTGCTCAATCACTCCCACTTCAGCAAGCAGGAGTGACTAAACTACCCAGGGATTCTTCATCCCAGGTTGTTTAGCCTGGTATCCAAACCAGAAACTTTGGCTTGTCTCTCTTCTAAGAAGGGTAGTTGGAACTTAAGGTTTTAAACCCTTTTGTGCCACAAAGTTATCATCATGTTCCTCTGCTACCATTTTCCTCTTGTAAGGAACCCAAGGAGGTTGCCATGGCTTTCCTGTTCTCCATTTTTTCCTCACAACCACCCTATGAAGTTGGTTAGGCTGAAAGTTAGTGACTGGCCCAAAGTCACCAAATGGGCTTTGCTGCCATGTAAGGACTAGAAGCTGAGTTTCCGGAGTCCCATTCCAACACTCTAACTGCTTTACCACACTGGTGAAAGTTTTTTTGAAATTATATATACCCTGACTGGTTATATGAAAGATTAATAGAAATGATCTATTATTTGTATCTGGGGTGGCATCTTGTAGTCCTCCATGTGTTTCGTTCTCTAGTTCCCATTAGGCACAGTAAGCATAGTTAATAGTCAGGAATGCTGGGAGATGTGGGTCTCCTGATCTTTTTCTGCCAACCCCACTACATGAAGGTGCACATACAAAACTTAAACAACTTTGGATGCCATTTATTTATTGCATTAAACAACCATTGATATATTAATTAGCATTTATGCTACAAGTATCCTAGATTAGTGAGGTATCTGATGTGTATTGATAGTGACTAAAAATCAGGAAACTAATGTGTGAAATGGTTACAACCAGTTGACTTGTAGTAACTATGAACTTTGTTGCTAGAAATCTGACTGTTCTGATACTGTATTAGTGAAGCATTTGCAATTGTGTATGTTCTCTATATATACAATTTTTTAACAATTAAACACAGAGAAATGGATATGATGTGTACTATACGGCTGAAGTCAGCAAGTAAGACTGTGGGGAAAGCTACTTTTAGAGAAGCAGCGGGGGGGGGGGCGTTGGACAGTCATGGCACACATACACATGGCTGTCCTGTCCTAATACGACAGATTTCACCCATGCCCTGGCTTAGTTCACTTCTAGAGCCTGCCACAACTGGGAATAGGGCAAATTTATCTGCAGGCTATATGGAATTTATGATAGACAAGACTTGGATCAGACTAAAAACAGTTTCTCTTGTCCAGTACTATTCCTTGAGCAAGAGTGGCTGGTCCAGGCCACTAACAAGTGAAGTATATAGGCATTCTCTAACAACAGAGAATCCATGTTCAGAGACAGGATATTTCTGAATACCTGATACCAGCACCTACAGCTCTTAAGACTATTCATCATTCATGGACCAACTTGGCACACAGAAAAGTTTCTCAGTAATTTTTAAACTCAGCTTGGTCATGCTTTTCCACCCATATCAAATTTTATTAAAAAAAAACTTTTAATGTCAGGGCTACTATATGCATCAAATCATTTCATACACACTGACCTATCAAAGGTATAAGCCCTCACCACATGGACAACTTGACACTAGTCACTTCAAGATACATTTTAACTGCTTCTGCCCCACTTACAATAATTGCAAGAGCAAAGATTTAAAAATCACTAAAATAAAAACTCTTCAGCATAAAATCCCGTAGTAATCACATAGAAACCATCACAATCAAACATATTTTAGAAGCCAGTCAGTGAGGGAAAATAGAAAGAACAGGGGTCCTCAAATTTTTTCAACAGGGGGCCAGTTGAAAGGTGGGGGTGCTCGCGGGCGCGGGCCAGTAAAGTGGCGGAGGCATGCATGCGGCGAGGCAGCAACTTGCTCGCTCGGAGATCTCCAAGCAAGTCCAAAATGATCTCCGAGCGAGCAAGCCACCACCGTGCAATGAAGCAGGCAGCAGCAGGCGCGAGGAGTCCAAAACCTCTGAGGCAGGCCAGATAAATGTGGCTGTAGTTTGAGGAGCCATGATTTAGAAGAATTCTCCGGGCAGAAAATTCTACAACTTTGATGATCTCACTGGAAAGGCCCTGCTCCCAGTGCACCTCTAGTATGAGTATATATGCATCACATTACAGGCCCCACACCCCATCCCGACTCCAACAGCCACACCACAGTGGCCAGGAAGGGTCACATTCCCCACATGGTTGTCTGTGGAGTAGCAGGCAGTAGACTGCAAAACTCCGCGCCCTCCCAAAATATAATCCCATCTAATTATTGATGATGATCTCATGAATAACCAAATCCACAAAAGTCAAGGTCTGACTGCACAAGGGACCAGGAATAGATTTACCTTCTTCCAGAAATGGTTCCAGTTAGTGAAGGATGTTAATGAACAGCAGTCCAAGTCATCATCAACAGTAGAGGATCTTGTCAGGTCCAGAAGAACCACAAAGCTGCATATTTGGTTCTTTAAAGGACTGTTTGCACAACTCCACTCAGGTCAGAAGACTTTCTCATCAACAGCACCTCATCTTGTCTGGACTAAGGCTGTGAAAGGACTGTATCCAACATTAGTCTGATTTAAATCCCATTCAGTTCAATGGATCTACTTAAGTAACCTTAAGATTGGACACAATCCAAATATTCCTAGCTACGGCTTTCTGGGGCATGCAAAAACTATACAGTGTGGGTTAATATACATGCCAAATTTGGGACACAAGGAAGAACTATCATATTCAGCTGCACAATAAAAAATAACCTTAAGCTAATAATTGCCACTACAAATTGTGACCCTGAATTCTGCAAGTTAATGATGCATGACCTGAACTACTTGTTTTTGTTTGTCTAATCCTACTGACAATCAATGTCATTGGAGTGCTGTCTCGAGTCTAAAATGAGTTGGATCCCCCAAACATAACACAAAAACTCCATGCTGGTTCAGACCAATAGTCTAGCTTTCTGTTCATACATACAACTGCTCACAGAATCTCCCTCAAACAGGATTTGAAAATAGCCCCCTAGTACCCAACTTTCACAGCAAGCAATATACATAGGTATATTATGATATATCTGATGGCAGCACAAAGCCATCAAGACTTGTGGTCATTGCTAGCCTTCTCTTCCATGGATTTATCCAAGCCCCTTTTAAAGCTATTCAAATTGGTTTATGGGCTTTTTGTGTTGCTTTACCCTCCCCCCCAAATTATATTTTTGAATGACTTTCCACTGTTCAGCTAACCTACAGCAGTATCACCAATGCAAACTTTAGCCAGGCCTTTCTTGCATCCAAACTCTAGTATTATGAGAGATGAAGAAATTGTCTCCCTACCTATTTTCTCCACACCATGCACAAGTTGACGAGATCTAATTCACCTTTACTTACCTTTTTCCTAACTTGGCCAATCTCACCTGTTATAACTTTTCCTCATAGGGATATTGCTCCCTTGTTCATTGTAGCTGCTCTTCTCTATACTTTCTCTAACTTTATTTAACACTTTTATATTCCATCTCCTAGCCACATGGCTCTCTGGACCTGATTATGTCCTCTTGCAGGTGCAGCAACCAGAGCTATAAACAATTATTTAAGTGGGGTCACCCCAAATATTTATGTAAGGGCAATATGATCTTGATTTTTAATTCCTTAAACAAGAACATTCTGGAATTGCAGACAAATAAGGATACGATATAACTCTGGACCTGGATTGGCTGAAATAGATTTTTTTCAGACTTCAATTCCCAGAAGCCTCTGCCAACAACTCTAGTGCTCAGGGATGCTGGAAGTTGAAGTCCAAACATCTGGAAATCTACTTTCTGCACTGCTGTAGACAACAATCCACATATCTGTCTTGTGCAAACTGCTAATTTTGATAGACCATATACTGATCATTCTACTTTATTCAAGTAGTAGATATAGAACAAGGATACTGAAAGTTAAAGATTGTTTTGAAGTAAAGGTGGTTTATATTTCCTTTCTCTTTTTTTCCTCATTAGGTATGCACTGCTAAGGTGAAAAAAGTGCTTTTATATGTTAGAATTCAGTTACAGGAAGCCCAGAAACAGTAAGTGTTAATCCCACATCACATTTCACAAATTGTCACTACACGTCAATTCAATTATATACTAGTGTCACACAAAACAGTGCATCCTAAACATGCTTACAAGACACTCTGTTCAATAGAGCTTACTCCCTAGAAAGTGCAGTTAAGATTGCAAAGTAGTTATCAGGTTTCAAACAGAAAAACCAAAAAGATCCTAACTCACACCCATACTGGTTAGTACTTAGCAAAACATTCTCACTGTCTTTACTGAAGATATACTGATTTTCCCATAACCTTCCTCAAAGATTAACTTTAAGAAGCCCCATTGAGTTCAAAGTGGGTACAAAACTGCAGCCTTGGTATAAGAAGGCATATGCAAAACCTGAATTCCCTCCCTATTTTCTTTAACCATGAAACATTGACCATTTTGCAAATGCCACTTCAGAACAAGATTATTTTGAGAAAGAAGAACAAATTAGATGCAAGAAAGGCCTGGCTAAAGTTCACACCAGTGATACTGCTGCACATTAGCTAAGCAGTGGAAAGTCATTCAAAAAAGATCTGCTTTTGCTTTTTGCAAAGCAACACAAAAAGCCCATAAACCAAAACAGTCCTTTCTTAATGCTGATTCCCTTACCTTTTGGTGCTACTGAAGAGCAAACCTCTCTCTCCCAGGGAATCTGAGCAAAAACTGTAGCAGCACACAGCTGCAAGTGGGTAGAAGCAAAAGTAGGAGGACCTTCCCCTCACTCCTCCCCTAAATTGCCCACGACAGGCAGGTGGCCAGTTTGGCTGGACTTCAGGACAAGAAGGAAAGCTGGATCAAGCAGCCAAGAAATTCAGCATTATGTACTCTGTGACCCAAAGCAGATGCATGGGCTATAATTAAACAGAAATAACCAGCATGTGAAAAAGGCTCATACTAGAATGGCCAAGAGACAGACCAAAGTGTCATTTTTGTTTTATATCAGTGGCAGGATTCCAGGCATGCTGCATGATGGGCAAGATTTCCAGTAGGTGAAAGTTTTACACAGGCTGCAAGAAGCTTTACCAGTCAAATTTCTGTTTCTCTTCATTCCTGAGGTGCCCCAAGAAAATAAGGAGAGGCAATTCTTGGTGGGACCTGTTGCTACAGACATGAACATTTCTTCATCATATACCAAGAATATAGCATAGGAAAGTTTTGGCCCAGCCATAACCAGAAAGGCCAACAGGTAAGAGTTTTAGTTCAAAACATCTGAAGACCCTTGAGTTGGGAAAGTCCTATGGCACACTGGCATTAAAAAGCTTTGCTCAAGATCCAGACTGTGGATCTGTTCCATTAGGAGGCTCAGCTGGACTCCTCTGCCAGTTTTTAGGTCCAGGGCCAAGTCAGGCCAGTGTTTCCCATCCTGGACCCCCTTATAGATGTTTTACTACAACACTCAGCATTCCTGACCATTGGCTAGGTTCACTGGGGTTGATATTCCAAAACATCTGCAGAGTACCAGTTTGGGGAAGAATAATTCAGGTGATTACTATGGAGCAAGGATCTCCTAATTACTTCAATCTAGATTTAGCTTTATTGCTGCTAATGCCCCAGTTTGCCACCTGATGCATACTGTTTTGTTTATATAATACAGTGTGTTATCACTGTGTAAATGTCATGTCAGCAGGTGTTTATGGTCAGCCTGGAGTGGCCCGCTCAGCCAGAGCATATTGAGCAGATCTCACCCAGTTCCAAGAGACAGAAACCTCCCTTTTACAAGGAGCTGCAGGTACTTTAAGTAACAGGCCAGATCACCTGATCCTGGCACTGGAATATGGATGACCTTGCTGCAGTCACCTGTAAGTCAAGTATCACTACTTAGCCAAACTATTCAATGGTAAACTGTTCAGGTGCCTACACAATAAAAAAAAATAGCATACAACTGAGAGACAAAAATGAGAGATTCTTGTGAGATCTTCAGCCAGGCAAGTGAAGAGAAACTAGAGAGATATACTGCACTGAGCAAGGTATGGGGATGAGGGTTTTTCTCTTCCAGCACAGTTTCCAGGAGCAAGTCTCTGGAAGTAAGGGAGTTTGAGACAGGTACACGGAAAGATTCCCAAAGTTTTCCCAGTGCAGGCAGCCAGGTGTTGTCTTCCCAACCAGTGGGAGGAAGATCTGATGCAGGCACCAGCAGAACTTTGTCACAGATATGGCGAACTTCCAGGAACAGCTGCAGAGCATAGTGTAAGGCTATGCAGTATTTTGACTCATATTGATCCTTTGTCACAGATGTGCGACTTTGAATGGCTTATAGCTTTGTGCACTGAAACTGATTTGTCCCTTTAAAATGCATATTGTTGTGCACTCAGAACCTAATTGAACTTGCCCCCACACTGTACTTCTTTCCTGAATCCTCAATAAATCTTTTACCCTTTCTTCACCAAAACCCAGACGGAGTTCTTTGCAGTGAAAGGGAAGAAGTCACACCATGTTTTGGGGTCACACTATGCTGCCACTTCGGTGGGAAGGTAACAGCATTCCATGCACTTCGGTGCTTAGTCATGCTGGCCACACGACCACAGAAACTGTCTGTGGACAAACACTGGCTCTCTCGGCAAGGAAACCGAAATGAACACCGCCGCCGAAAGTCAGACATGACTGGACTTAAATGTCATGGGGAAACCTTTACCTTTACATTATGCTGACTGCAAGCTGCAAGTGTAGCTTTGCTCTCTTAAGGACTTAAGTGTTGGGCTGCAGAGAAACCCAACACAAAGGATATCAATGGGATCCTTGTTCAGTTGTTCCCATGACACCGAGGGCTCCTGTAGGACTAAGGAGACTGGGATTGTTTTTCTCTGGATAGTGCCAGGGGGCACTCCTGCACCTGATCATGCACCATCAGACAGGGTTGTCTGCAGGTGCCAGGTCACCACATCATGCAGCAGGACCTCCCCTTCCTCTTCTCCCCCTTTGCTAGCACCTGCTCCAGATCAGATAGGGGTTTGCAGGAAGTGACAGGGATTTCTAAAAAAGTACAACAGCAGTGTGTGTTCTGCTGAAAGACCATAGTTGGATACTACATTTATGCATTTAGTTGACTTGGATTTGATAGATCAGAAACACAGCACATAATATAAACAAATAGCCTTCTTAAAAAAATAGATACAGATGTGTGTGATTACTAATTCTATGAACAAGCACAACTGCACACTAAGTGCCAAGATTAAGTTGACACAGAAGTACTTTTGCTTGGTAAAGACCCACTCTGTATGGGTTGAGAGCACCAAAGCAATGAACATTAATCTGCAGGAGTAGTTTGCCACACAATCTAAGCCGCTTGGCTCTTCCTTCACTGTGCTATACTACTTATGGTTGATCTTAATGATAAAGTCAGCAAAGCAGAGAGCAGCCCATTGCTCAAGTTTTACACACCCACTGCTCACAGTTTACACACATTTGCTGGCATGCAAAACCTGGATCACATTTCAGTGGTATCAAGCTGGTTTTGCTTTGAGTTACTG